GCGCGCGCCCCGCGGGACCGCGTTCAATTTTTTCGCGCGCGCGCGCGTGCAGCGTGTTTAAACGCGATTGAACGCGGGGCACGGGGGATTGAACGCGCGCGTTTGAACGTGAACGCGTGTTCACGGCGTTCAACCGGTTACACAGCCGCCGATCGACTGCGCGGGGGGCAAAACCACAGGGGATAGCCTTATCGGGCCCTCAACCCCTGGCTTTTCCTTGCCGCTCCGATACTCCTGCGTCATCGCCCACTGACTCGACACTATAACTAATAGTGTTAGGCCCAAGGCTGAGTCTAGCACTTGCGGAAACCCATATAACTGGGTACCACAATGTATGCGGGTCTGCTAAACACTCCAAGGTCCGACTAACCCACGACCGCTTGTTTTCGCACTCCTACACTTACATTCACTCTGCTCATTACACAAAACCGTGTCGCTGTCGACGACGTCCTCCACATGAGCGCACGTGCACCATGATCACTTCAACAGAAAAAAAAACTTCCTAATTTTAATCAAAAATAAAAAATTGGCCGGCGGAAACGCACACTCTAAAATATCAATAAGAAAATATCACATGCGCCTCAGAACTGCGCTCCCACACACACACACACCCTCTGCTTCTAGTCAACCATTTAGTTCGTGTGAACCAAACACAACTGCGACTCATGAGGGGTACTCAAATCTTTGAATGAACTCACTTTCTGTCATTTGCAAAAAACTAGGGCGGATACCCTTGTAAGGGTATTCACATCGAAAACGTGGCTAGCCACAGAGAGGGAGAGAGAGAGAGAGAGGGAGAGAGGGAGAGAGAGAGAGAGAGAGAGAGAGAGAGACTGACATCCTGTTGCTCCTACACCACAACTTCATACTCCTCCTGCTCCTCTTGCTCCTCCTCCCGCTCCTCCCTCTTCCCCTCCTGCTGCCTCCTCCCCGTTTCCCCTCCCACTCCTCCTCCCCGTTTCCCCTTTCGCTCCTCCCGCTCCCCCTCCTGCTGCCTCCTGCCCGTTTCCCCTCGCGCTCCTCCTCCTGCTCCTCCTCCCGCTCCTCCCGCTCCTCCTCCCGCTCCTCCCACTCCTCCCACTCGTCCTGCTCCTCCCGCTCCTTCTCCCGCTCCTCCCACTATTCCCGCTCCTCCTCCCACCCCTCCTCCACCCTTTCCCGTTTTCCCTCCTGCTCCTTCTCCAGTTCCTTCTCTTGCTCCTCCTCGTTCTCCTGCTCCTTCTCCCACGCCTCTTGTTCCCCCCGGTCCTTCTCCCGCTCCTCCGCCAAACAACGTGACACAGATCTCGCCATAGCTATCTCCTAAGAAAAAAAAAAAAAGGCCCGCCCCGTGGCTAGCCACAGAGAGAGAGCGAGAGTGAGTGAGTGTGGGAGAGAGAGAGACTGACCTTCTGCTATTCCTCCACCACAACTTCATCCTCCACCCGCTCCTTCTCCCGCCCCTCCTCCCACTCCCGCTCCTTCTCCCGCTTCTCCCGCTCCTCCTCTCACTCCTCCTCCCACTCCTTTTCCCGCTCCCCCTTCTGCTGCTCCTCCCACTCCTCCTGCACCCCCCCACGACGGACTGCGTCGCTTCACAATCGAGATGCCGGTTGCGTGTGACATATTTCAATGCAGAGCGCCGACCCGAGACCATGTGGTGGGCCTCCCGTTTTTCTGTAGTCTCCAATTCGCGCCTGCCAACCGGACAGGACTCCGCGCCGTTTCCGCCTACCTGCGGTTCTGCTGCTGTCCCTCCGTCGGCTGACGCGACATCGGCCCCCTAATACTGTTTCTCCTGGGCCCGCGGCGGCGTGTTTCGCCCCTCCCTTTGTATCTTTTAGAAGTGTAGAGAAGAGATAATTCACAGCCCTAAAGCTGCGGTATAGTGGGCTTAGCGTCTGTGTCAAGGTGTCGAATTTTCGGCGGTCGGGGACCAGGACGCAAGTGAGTCCTTAGAGGGTGGAAATTTTTGGGGGAGAACCGGGACTTTTGGAAAAAAGAAGAACGGTGGAAACGGACGACCAACAAAAAAGGGGAGGCGGCCCCAGACATTGAGGCCGGGTCTGGTGCTGATGCTCGTGAACGTTGCTTTCCACTAGGCCCCTACCCAAAGGAATACCGGTGGGTCCAGTCCCGCAATTTGCAAGAGGCGACTTTGATGTTTTTTGTGCTCAGAGCAGCTTTCAGAAAAATATGAAAATGTGAGAATCCGTAGATGAGGTCGTGCTCTTTCCAGGAAAAATATCAGAAAAAACTTTAAAACATCTTAAAGAACCGTGAAATAATAGCCGCGCCAATTCTACACATTTTCCATTTTTACCACTCAACCATGTGTGGGCCAACGTGGCCAAGGAAAAAATACTCAAATTTCAATCATTTTTTGCTTTCAGAAGAATGCGTGAAAAACTTTGAAAATTGGAGTGCTCGTAGATTTTGTTGTGATCTTTTCTGGAATTGTATTAAATAAATAAAGAAAATAATTTTAAATGCGAAATAGATCCCGGCTGCAATCTGACCCATATTCCAATTTTGCCATGCAACCTCTCTCTCTCCCTCTCTCTCTCTCTCTCTCTCTCTCTCTCTCTCTCTCTCTCTCTCTCTCTCTCTCTCT